CCAAGAAAACTAGGTGGGTGTTGCTCATTGTCATAAGAGATTGCTATATGAGCCAGAATGCCACTTTATTAATCTCATAGAATGTCGAACTACCAGGCAAACTGGAATATAAAAATCACTGTTCAGGCATGCCCTATTCTTGTAGGCAAACCATGTGAGAAGTCAGATTATAATTAGAAGGTTGCTTTGGTGAGTGTGAAGTCTGAGAAACAGTAATGCAAGTCCACAGGTCAAGGGCCCCTTCCCTTTGGCAGGGTTCAAAAGTCTGCTAACCTGTCTCTTTTGGCCTTCACTTTCCACATTCAGGGTTAACTAGCCATCTTTTTATCCTCACAGTTTTACTCTAGGCAGATTATGTATTAAACAGTAGAATCCATTTTATTAAATTCCTGCAAAATTATAGTCCTGCCTTTCTCATTTTCTCATTTCTCCCAGAGATTACTCAGATTACCTTGATTGCAATTTGGGATGTTGCATAACTTCCACTATCAGACACATGTAAACAGTGTTGTTCCCCCACCCCACAGATGGCATCTGTTGGGTACAGAAGTTACCTGTTTTAAGCTCAAAAAGACAGCAGCAATAATTCTTAATTTTTCAAATTCTTTATAGCACCCTATTGTTGTATGTATGAATCTCTTATTAATGAGAATTAGAAATTCCTGGGGTAGAGTGGGCAGGTGGCCTAGACATGAACAAGAGGTAGCAGCTACGTATCTAAAAATTCAGGTATAGCTGGGAGTGGCCAAAAATCCAAGATATTTTAATGCTACATGAATGAAATCATTCCTTCAAAGAGTGTCTTAAATTTATTTCTTAAATCTAAACCTGACATCATCATGAACATGAGTCACTTCATGTAGTATTTTATGATGATCAAAGTAAAAGGGATATGGATACCTTTTGTAGCATTGTTATAATGCACATAAATTATTTTAGAGCCATTCCACTTTGGAATTGTTTAAAGATAGACGAACAGATTCTTGACAGTGACTATTTATGAAGGAGAGAGGGCAAACACTTTGTCTTTTGCTTATACTTCATATATTTTGGCTTTCCATTCAAATAGCCTATTTTGTAGTGTTTTAAAAATCAGTGGAAGAAAATTAAAGGTTGAATACAATGACACAGTATCATTATCACTGTTGAGCCACTGGAACTGTAGTTGCTGTTATTAACACTGACATTAGCTAACATTTATTGAGGGCTTCCTACATCCTAGGTAGAATAATAAGCATATTCCAAAAATTATCTCTTAACAGTTCACAGCAAGCCATTGAGTTAGGAAATATTCTCATTCCACCAATGTAAAGTTGAGGCTTGAGGAGGTTGGGTCCCTTTTCCTAGTCACACAGAGGCAGGTGGAGCAGCCAAAGCCTCAACTCTAGACTGTTCAATTCCAGAGATGAAGCTATTTATTATTGCTTTATACCAAGTTACCCTGTTTCTTTAACTCACAATTAAAATACACTAACCTTAAATAAAATGCCAGTAATTAAGCATCTCTGGCTAAATCAATTAATAACTACCTGGTTATAGTACCTTAACCTTGAGCTGAGCAGTGGTAAAATGGGTTATAATGGGAATAACAACCAGGTCTCCTATTATATTATTTAATAGAATATTATTTATTTAGTATTATTTATTTAGTACTTATTTAGTAAATGAATAGATTTATTAAATAAATATTACTATTAAATTATTTAATATCTATTGTATTAACATATATTATATAATAGGATATTATTTAATAATAAAATTTTCAGTTACTAACTGAATGTATTTATCTTGAGAATTACAAAGAACAGAAATTGTCAGCCATAGAGTAAGCAAGGTCAGAACATTTTGTAGTAAAAAATAAAATTGACAAAATATGGGGCCAGAGTTGGGTATAGCTCAGTGGTAGAACATTTGTTTAACATGCTGGAAGCCCTGGGTTCCATCCCCATCAGGGGTTGGGGAAGGAGGAGAAAGGAGTGGGGAAGAGAATGCTACACTTTGGGTAAAAACAGAAGGGAAAATTTAAAGGCATGCATATATAAGCTTATCTTTATAAAAAGAAACACAAGAATAGTTAATGATATAAACAAACATAGGAAGGAAAATAATACACTTGGTTACATAGAAGAAGACTCATGGGTCCTGAAGGAAGTAATATTTCTCTAATGATACCTTTTCTGTGAGTTCAACTTTTGGACATATATTAATATTTTACATATTTAAGAAACAAAATTGTATCAGTAAGGATGGGAGGTGGGGAAAATCTAAAATTGGAAATAGACTGAAACAAACCCAATTGCACTTCATATGAATAAGTACACTGAAAGGAAAAAAGAAAGAGTATGATACAGTATTTAACTATGTAAACTATGTATCCTCAGTCTTAGGTTGAAGAGAAGAAAAATTGTAAACAAGTAGGCTATTTATAGTAAACATTTTTGTTTTAGTTTGGGTGGTGCAATTCTGAGACAATTGTAAATCAATGTAGGATTGAGGTAATGAGTGAATTTGTCATTGTTGTTGGAATCAAGGCTCCTTATTAAGGACAAAAACAAATCAGAGCAAGGAATAGGGGAAGGCAAGAGAGAATCTATAGGGATAGATTAGAATTGGTGTGATCTTGTCATCTCTAAAATATGTATGTATGTGTGTATATACTTATGTATGTAGTTGTCTGTATATTTATATGTGCATGTGCATTCTCTTGCCCTCACCACATATGACAAAAATACCCTAGTAACCATGAGAGTACATTGAGAGCCTAGATCTTGGTCTCAATGTCTACTAAAATTAATCAACTTCTCAGAGAAATGGCTGCCTCCAGGGATGGGGCAAGTTAGGTTTGGGATGAGCCTAAAATATCTTTTTATATTGCGGGGGAGGGGGAGGATGGGGTCATGTCAAAAGAGCCTAGCAGCCAGCTTAAAGGGACTCCTACTGGACAAAATCTGGGACACTTGGAGCACCAAGAGTAAGTACAATAATGTGCTATGATATTTTTTATTTGAATGAGGCAACTACATTCTCAAAAGTGACAATGTCATTAAACAAAAATTTTATATAAATATGATCCACAGTGAAAGAAGTCTCTTAACATCCGTCTGTTAGCACACTTTTTTTTTTAATACCAGAGATTGAACCCAAGGATGCTAACCACTGAACCACATCCCCAACCCTTTATGTGTGTGTGTGTGGGGGGGTGTATTTTGTTTGTTTGTTTTGTTTGTTTTGAGACAGCATCTCACTGAGTTGCTAAGTCTGTTTTTGAACTTAAGATCCTCCTGCCTCAGCCTCCTGAGCTACTGGGATTACAGGTTTGTGCCACTGGGGCCAGCTATTAGCATACTCTTCAAATAGAAAGTGGTATTCATTGGGTTAAGATGTTCTCAGGGCAATCACATCCTCATATGACTTTCTGGGGTCACCTTGATTGAATTTGGTGTATCCTTAAGATTCACACACTTGTCTCTTTTATGTTTTTGTCATCTTTATAGATGGCTAATTTCACTCATTATATTTTGACTCATTTTTATAGGGTTAACTAACCATTATAATAAATATGAAGGTACTTTACTCCCTCTACCACCAAATTTTATTCACAAGAATAATTTCAAATTTTGTAATAAAAGGCCTTTAAGGCTAACCCATTCCAGAATATGTTTACTCTTCCCTATGGAATTACCTAGAGAGAGGCTTTATAACCGCTTTCCTGTATAACCCACAGCAAGTACTAGGGATTGAACCCAGGAGCATGCTACCACTGAGCTCCATCCCCAGTTCTTTTTTATTTTTTATTTTGACACAGGGCCCCACTAAGCTGTTGAAGCTAGTCTCGAACTTGTGATCCCCCTGCCTTAGTCTCCCACATCACTGAGATATTACAATCTTTTCTTTGCTTTCCCCCCTCCTCCTGTGTCATGAAGTATAAGTTTCCTTCTTTGTTTTCCTGGCTGAACTACAGATTGTATAAGACTTCCTTGCAATCAGTCACCCTTTGAAAAATGAATAAATGCAGTCTTTCTTCTTTGTTTACCTCCACAAAATCTAGAGACAGCTATGCATGGTGGCATACACCTGTAATCCCAGCGATTTAGGAGGCTGAGACAGGAAGGTTGCAACTTTGAGACCCTGTTTCAAAATAAAATAAAAATGGCTGGGGATATAGCTCAGCATCCCTGGGTTCAGCACTGAAGTGGGGGAAAATATCTAAAGAGACAGAAAAGTCTAAAAGTATAAAATAACATTCACAGAACATATTCCATTTTTAGTTGCATGTAACATTTTATGGATTTACATAGGACAGTTTAGCTAAGAAAAACTCCCCTCACCATAGTTTGAAGTTCAGCAAGAGAACACATGAAAGTTTTTTTAGAAAAGTATAAAAAGATTAACTTTGACTTTCCTCTGTAAACTAGGGGAAAAAAAATCCAGGCTATAGGGGAAAATCGTAAAAGAAACTTCAAAAACCGTAATCTTTACAACCTCAGAGAGGGCCACAGTAATTTGAAAATTCTCTAGATTAGCCTTCTATTCAAACTATGAATTTGAGTGTATGTGTGTAATATGTATTGTTTAATAATAAAATTACTGTCATTTATTCTGTTTTGCAATTTGATTATAAAACAGCTGTCTCAATTAATAAAACATTGTTTGAAAGGAGATCAAAATATGGCAAAAAAATTTTTTTTAATATTTATTTATTTATTAGCTATTGGTGGACACAACATCTTTGTATGGGTGCTGGAGTATCGAACCTGGGCCGCACACATGCCAGGCGAGTGCGCTACCGCTTGAGCCACATCCCCAGCCCCCAAAAAAAAAATTTTATCAGTGAATTAAAATGACATTCAGTTTACTGTTTGGTAATAGTTTAGTAAATTGCAAATGTATTAGAAGTGTACATTCATGTTGTAATATGAAAATTACTGAAAAACACCAATGTTTTTCAGCACTAATATATATGGATTAAGTATAATTCTGTGTCTATATGTTTCTTTCAGGGCTAGTGGTTGGATTTATACTAACGATTGCAAATTTCAGCTTTTTTACCTCTTTGCTGATGTTTTTCCTTTCTTCTTCAAAACTCACAAAATGGAAAGGAGAAGTAAAGAAGCGTTTAGATTCAGAATATAAGGAAGGTAAACTTAATTACATTCAACATTACTCAAAATGGTAAACTGTTTTATCCTAACATAAGCTTTTTTTTTTAAATGGAATTTAATAACATAAGCTTTTAATCAGAACATATTTAGTCTGTCAACAGATCAGTTTTGAGAGTTACTTTAGTAGCTTTATTTATCATTTACTTTACTGCAATAGGAAGTAACAGCAACATTTTAGAAGCTCTAGAGTCTGTCATTAATTATTTTAGATTATTAATACCAGCATAAAATGAGGGTGAATGTGCCATATTACTCTTAAAACTTTAAAAAAAAATTTAGTCATTTTTATTTTTCTACACTTTAAGATAAAGTTCTTATAACTGCATGCATTTCCTTTTGAGAAGAAAACATTTCTCATGTTTTTTATCTACTTCTTTGTTTCCAGGAGGGCAGAGGAATTGGATCCAGGTGTTCTGTAATGGAGCTGTGCCTACTGAGCTGGCTCTACTGTACATGATAGAAAATGGCCCCGGGGAAATGCCAATTGATTTTTCTAAGCAGTACACTGCTTCCTGGATGTGTTTATCTCTCTTGGCTGCACTGGCCTGCTCTGCTGGAGACACCTGGGCTTCAGAAGTTGGCACAGTACTGAGTAAAAGTCCGCCAAGGCTAATAACAACCTGGGAGAAAGTTCCAGTGGGTGAGTCTTGATTTGAGTTTCAAAACAAAAACAAAAACACCCCTGTTAATGTATTTAAGTGCCTTTTAAGAATTTTATTTGGTTTTCTTAATCGGAAAATTGCTATAGGATATTAAATTATTGATATTAACTAATATTTGATGGAAACATTAACAAGACCTGGATATATAGTACAAGAATATAGAGACCGACCCACAGACTTAATCAGTGGGAAAGGAAAATATAAGGAATAGAGTTTTTTTTGAGATCCTATATGTAATAAGTGCTTTTAACATAGTCTTTCAAACTATTGTTTCGACCAACAGTAGATTAAAAATATCTAAAGAAAAATAATTTTGTTTGTACTGAACACTTAGATTTTTTTCTTACAATTATTCCTAAATAATACAGTATAATAATATTTAAACAGCATTTGTGTAGTGTTAGTATTTATTATAAGTAATCAAGAGAACATTTAAATTATGTGGAAGGTGGGATGTGCATAGGTTATGTGCAGGTACTACACCATTTTATGTGAGGGACTTGAGCATTCGAGGATTTTGGTGTAACCAATCCCGTGTGGATAGTGAAGGATTTATGTAGGTATATCTCAGTCCCCTATTACCATTAGCAACTGCTTCTACTTCCTTTTTAAAATCTTCTCTCTTCCTTCCTTTCTTTTCCACCTTCTTCTCATCTTCCTTTTTTATTCCTCTTCTTCATTATCATCATTCTTACAATGGCTAACATTTTGAAGACCTACTGTGTTCAAAGCACTATCCTGGCTGCTTTACATAGAATATTACTTAGTACTCATAATAATCATATGAATTTGTTCTTGTATTGTTTTCATTGTTAAAAAAAAAAAGGAAACTAAGGCACAGAGAAATAGCATTCTAGCTCCATTGAACCATTCTGGTTCACTACTAGAATGTTGAGAGTTACTGAAGAAAAAGGACTACTTTCTAAATAAGCTATAGTCTAGAGATTGCATTAAAGAGAACTCTTTCTAACGAGTACTGCATGATCTCACTTATATTTGTAATCCAAAATAGTAGACCGTATAGAAGTTGAGTTTATAATGGTGATTACCAGAGGCTAGGGAGAATAGGGGAGAGAGAGTGATGGGGAAAGTTTAATTACTGGGGACTAAGTTATATAGGAGCAAGAACTTCTGCTGTTTTATTTCATAGTAGGGTAACTAGAGTTAACAGTAATGTATTGTATATGTTTAGAAAGTTATAAGAAAGGATTTTCAATTTTTTCCCCTTAAACATGATAAGATGGTAAATTTTTGAGGAGATATCTATACCCTGATGTGAACACTGCACAATATATACATGTATCAGAATATTACATGGTATACCATAAATATATACAATGTTATGATTCACTTAAATTTTTTTAATTAAAAAGAGAACTCTTTCAAGTTAATGTTAATTACATAGCTACCATAATGTTACAAAGCTATGTAATTAACTTTACATAGCTTTGTTTGACTTTGTTTGACTATGTACTGATTATTAACCAGATGATTTTATTTATGTTTCTTCTTAGGAACCAATGGAGGTGTTACAATGGTGGGACTTGCCTCAAGTCTCCTTGGTGGTACCTTTGTGGGCATTGCATACTTCCTCACACAGTTGGTTTTTGTGAGTGATTTAGACATTTCTGCTCCACAATGGCCCATTATTGCATTTGGAGGTCTAGCTGGATTGCTAGGATCAATTGTGGACTCATATTTAGGGGCAACAATGCAATTTACTGGTAAGACCATTACATTATTATTGTAATTTATTGGTTTTTCAAAGAAATGGGGGAAGATATGGAATTTTTTTTTTAAAGATGTAAAAAGGAAAAGAAACCCAAAGATACAGGATTGTTGAAGGACCAGAAATGACAGGGAAGAATCTCTTCCACAGTTTTTTTTTTTTTTTTTTAAATTCTTTTGTGTTAAATTCATTGAAAAAGAATAAGTTCTACAGAGCAGTGATTAGAGGGGAAGATACATTAGTGCAAGGAATAGACACTTTTGATTATGAGCCATCTAATCCCAGGAAAGTAGGACATTTAGGATCAGCTCATTTTAATGCACCTCCTTCCATTTGTTTTCTTCAAGTCCATTTGATAGATAGTTATTGTACTAATATGACTACATATACATTACCTACTTTCCTACTGTGATATCATGCTTGATGTCTTCATCATTGAGTTTTGGAGTAGTTTGTTTTATTTGAAGTAGTATTTAACTAGATATCCCAGGCTAGTCTCAATGCCTAGGCTCAAGTGATGACCCTGCCTCAGCCTCCCAAGGAGCTAAGGCTACAGTTACATGCCACCATTGAGTTTTAAGTCCCACTCAAGGTAAATGGGAGAGTCAGTTTTCCTCAAAATTCTGTGTCTTGCTTCTGGTGCTGTCTGGCCCTTTCATTCTATGGATATTTCCTGTTAGGTGTGTATTTTCTGCACATGTCACCAACTATATTTTCTCCTTTGACTGACATCATGAAGAGACTGAAGGCTAAAGAAGGTTCCCTGAGTTCAGTCCATCCCATGCTCTTCAAACCCAAGATAATCTACTTATCCTTTTACTCCCCTCTCCACTTGTCAGAATGTTTGTTCTTTCAGTTTTACTAATTTCATTCAGATGCTTAGGAAGAAGCAATCTGGTTTTAATTTATACTAAAGAGACAGAGACTCTATCTACACAATAGTACATGTGGGTTTTTTTGTTTTGTTTTTTTAAGAAACCTAGGTTTTATTTAAAATGGGTTCTAGCAGGGAAAACTTCTTACACTGAATGAGTTGAAAAATAAAATGTGAGCAGTGGAAGAGGTTAGCTTATTCCCTAAATCTTTGTGTGCTGCTGTTTTAGTCTTTACTGCTATGAAAAATGCCTTATATTGGATAATTTGCAAAGAGAACAATAAAGTAATTTACTTGTCATAGTTTCAGAGGCTGGGAAGTTCAAGAACAAGACACTATTCTCTTTCTGCTTCCAAGATGATACTTGTTGCTGCATCCTTCCATGGTGAAAGGCAGACAGGCAAAAGAACAAGGCAGCTCTCAGGAGCCTCTTGTATAAGGGCATTAATCCCATTCTTGAGAATGAATTCCTCATGACTTGATCCCTTTCCCAAAGGCCCCAACTCTTACTTCTATCTCATTGGGTCTTAGATTCCAACATGAATCTTGGAGGGAGACAAACACTCAAACCATAGCATTCTTTTTTCATCACCATGCTGGGCCATGTGTGTCCAGTGCTGAGGCTATACATTTACTCCTATTCTGAGGAGCCTCACAGGTTGGCTTTGATGGGAAACTACTGGGAAGGCAGGCCTAGCCTGCCAGTTTCGGGCCATCTGTCCTTTTATTGTTCTCCATTCTAATTCCAAAGGAACTCCAGAGGTATTGAGAGAATATTATTGAGATGTGCTGAAACTTATTTATTCAAAACCTTTGTAATCAAAGGTTCCATGTATCTCACCATTTAAATTATTTACTAAAGTCATTGTACAAGTCACTGAGTTTTTCAAAGGTGGTCTCTTTTGGAGAAAAAGCCAATTTTCTTTTTTTAATCTAGTATTTGAATCTTCTTATTTGCTTCTTTTCTATTCCAGGTTTGGATGAAAGCACTGGCATGGTAGTCAACAACCCTACAAATAATGCAAAGCACATAGCAGGGAAACCCATTCTTGATAACAATGCAGTGAATCTATTTTCTTCTGTTCTTATTGCCCTCTTGCTCCCAACAGCTGCTTGGGGGTTTTGGCCCAGAGAGTGAACTTTATTTCATTTCCACTGGTTGAAACTGGTGAGTTCAAATAAATTTGCAATTCTAAGTTTTATCCTAACAATAATAATAATTGTAATGTTAAAGTGAAAATGTGAACTATATCTGTATTCTATTATGATGGAATTCCACAGTTTCATCAACTCACTTTAAAAGCTAGTATCTTTCTAGAGAAAGAGAAAATTACATAGAACTTATGCATATTTTCCTTCTGCTGAATGTAACTTCTTGATCAGGGGAGCTACATTTTCTCTACATGTTGCTATATATCGAACTGAAAGATCTACATAGTCAATGGAAATTTTATTTTGCTTTATTTAAACCAGTGTCAGGATTGAGAGTGATGACATTTTAAAATGGTTCCCAATTGTAACAGAAAAATGTCACTGTACAAATTACCCCAATGTGGGGCTGGGGATGTGGCTCAAGCGGTAGCATGCTCGTCTGGCATGCGTGCGGCCCGGGTTCGATCCTCAGCACCACATACAAAGATGATGTGTCCGCCAAATACTAAAAAATAAATATTAAAATTCTCTCTCTCTCTCCCTCTCTCTCACTGTCTCTCACTCTCTCTTTAAAAAAAAAAAATTACCCCAATGTTATATTCATTTTTAATGGCTTAAGCTATTTTGTGTGGAAACCTCAGTAAGCATACTATCCTGACCTTCTCTCATTACCTTGCCAGTCACAAGTAATTATGAAAAGTGTAAAGATTGGTCCTAGTGAATTATGTGACATTATTCTCTCACTCCAGGTTAATAATGAAAAAAGGTAAATTTATTTTTCATATGACCATTAGAAAGTGTGAAAATAATTTCTAACTAAAATCAAAGAAAATTATCTAAAAAAGTACACCTTATTATATATTTCAGTTGTGCACTGAAAATAAACTATATTGAATTCAATTTTTTTCTCTTTTCACATTTTTTCATTGGTGTATTATGGTCATACATAATGATGAGATTTGTTACATATTCCTATATGCATACAATATAACAGTAAAATTTGGCCAGTATCACTTTCCAGCACTTCCCCTCTCCCTTTCTGCCTTCACCCAGACCCAAGACATTAGTTTTTATTGTTGTTGTTTTATTAGATCATTATAGTTATACACAGTGGTTGGGTTCATCCTGACCAATTATGCATGGAGTTTGATTTCAGGTCTCAATCTTTCCTCTCCTCCCCCATTCTCCTTCCTCTACCTTGTTAGACTTCCTTTCACTTACCTATTTTTTTAATTGATTCTTTTTACTTATACAAAAGGGTGATTTTTTAATGCATTTTCTAGCTTTCTTTTATAAATGACTGGAAAAATACTTTGATTTCCTATTACGTACCTTCTAATTTGTGCCCTCCTTTATACTGTAGCTTTAAAATTTTCAAATTTGTTCTTCACTGTGACCTACCATGTACTAGAAGTTTTAACAAGGAACAGAGTACTTTACCAAATATATCTTAAGATGTTTCTCCTGTCATTTCTGTACCATTCTTCCCTTTTCCCTTAAAAAAGTTGGGAAAGGACTCCATGAGTAAGCCAGCTGAGAGTGGAGACAGCTTAGAATTCTTCAGTGGTGACCCAACTGTAGTGATGATTTGGAACTGACTGGTTTAGGAAGGAAAACAAAATAGTTTACATCCGTAATTCTTAAGTCATTCAATCAACTCTGTGGATCACAACATTGGTTTTGAAATTAGGTAAACTTTGGAAGCACCTGGGCAATTTAAAAAAAAAAGTTTAGTACCAGAGTACTACACCCCAGCCTTTTTTTTTTTTTTTTTTTTTTTTGAGACAGGGTCTTGCTAAGTTGCTGAGGCTGGCTTCTAACTTGCAGTCTTCCTGCCTCAATTTCCAGGGATTATAGGTATGTGCCATTGCATCTGGCCTGCGTGTTTTTAAAAATCAAAACTTGTGTCTAAGCTCCATGCCCCCAAATTCTGACTTAGCTGATATAGGATATAGCCTGGAAATTGAAATTTTATAAAGCTTTGGGTGCACATGAAAATCATGTAGAGATTTTTTTTTTAACTCTGTTATCAAGGCCCTTTTTTAAACCAAGTAAATCAAAATGTCTTAAAATGATGTCTTTGCTCCGCATTGGGTATTTTTACAAAACCCTCTGATAGATTTTATTATCTAGCCAGGTTGAGAACCCCAGAATTAAGAATATCTGTATTTAAAGCACTGTATCTAAAGGAAGCATCAAAAGAATGGAATGTGTTGTTTTTAGGGAGACAACAATCAGCAGAGCATCAAAAGAATGGAATGTCTTGTTTTTAGGGAAACAACAATCAGCAGAGTGCTGGGGTTGATAGCTTCTGGTAATCGTGCACTGTCTTGCATCTGCATCTCTTGTCATTGCTGTCGGTTTTTCATGCAGCCCACATGTTATTTGAACATGCCTTTCCTCTTTTCCTAGAAATTCATCCTCATGACATACTAAGGGACAAAAGTACTTACTGGGACCAGCTTTAGGTTTGGTACAATCACCTTGTCATTAACAGTGTGGAGAGAGATTACTATACAATCCTTTGTTTGAAAACTTAGGGTTAGTTGTGTTTTGGAATCAAAATTTTTCAGAATTTAAAAAACTAATAGGATCTACATAGAATATTTCACTCAAAGCTACTAAAAAAAGTCCAGGGTAGAAACCCATTATCAAATGCACTCCTACTTTTGTGGTGAGTTATGAATAGCCCCACTGAAGGTGATGACTAAAGAATGTAAAGAGCCTCAGGTTAAGTCATGTCAGGTTTTGTCACCAAACTTGTGAAGAAACAATCCATAGTTCTTGGATATGAAAACTACAGATAAAGAATTGAGGTTCTGTCCTTTTTTCTTTTTTTAATCCTACATATATTTTCTGTAACATCTTTTGTTAATTGGATATTTAATTCAACTATTCTTCTTGGGTAGGTGGGCAGTTATATTAAAAACATTTTCATGGAGAGAGCTCCATGTAACAATATAATAAAATATTATGTGCTTCTGCCTAGGTAGCTTAAAGGTGTATTATTTATTAATATACTATAACATAATAGAGGACTGCAAAGTGTATGTGGCCCAAGGCAGCTTTTGAAGAAGACTTCAAGAAGAGACATCACATGGGACTACCAGGACAGCACAGACTTGTCACAGAAGTTCATTCCATCTTTAGTATTTTTCCCTTCTTGAGTTATCTATGCTTTATATCTCTTTCTTGTTTCTAGCTGCTATAAATATAGAATACTGGCTGCAGAAATTCTAACTCCACCTCAATTAGAAAAAGAACTATTAAAGAGAAAAATTGTGAAATGAGATGTTTTAAACTTTGCACCTGCCTTCGGTATGAACAGCTGCTGACTATTAATGCACAGTGAATACCCTAGGTCCCAATCATTTGATATTCCTGATATTTTATCTGATGTCCCCAGTACCACCACAATGAGAATGAACTGCAAGCCACCAAATCCCAGATGAATTGTATGTGCTTTAAAAGTAAAAACACAGGAATGAGAATATAGCTGTGGTAGAGCACTTGCTCAGCATGCGTGAAGTTCTGGGTTCGATCCCCTGTACTTCCAAAAAAAGAAGAAAACAATTATGCAGCCTAATTATTTAATCTCCTTATGGAGTTTTTGTTGCTCTAACTCCCAGTAAGTCCTGAATATTTTTAAAATATATGAGTGTTTAATGTGTTTGTTGAATTAAGTTGTTAGACTCTAATCAGTGTTTCTCTTAAGAGTCTCTGAAAGTCAATAATTGGAAACATATTCCTGGAGGGAAATAAAAAATAAAAAAACCAGTTTGGCTAATTGAATTTCTGAGGACTGTGATGATTCCAACATTTCTCAATCATGTGAAACCAGTAATGGTTTTGAAACTAATGAGTCAGGAAATTATTGTAGGGGAAGTGAAAAAGTGGCAGAACAGGACTCCTGAAATTATTCTCCCTGCCAAGACTAAATGTCAGTTCTCTTTCATTTACCATAATCTCTCCCTTTAAAATTTACTTTATAAATGTGGCAAGTCTTCTTATATATTTAGATTTTTTCTTTTTTATTAATGTTTAATGTAGTAATAAAATGAATATGTGTGTGTGTGTGTGTTTTTGTTTTTGCTGTACTAGAGACTAAACCTAGGGCTTTGCACATGCTAGGCAAACACTCTACCATTGAGCCACATTCCTAGCCTTGAATCTGTTCTTTTTTAATCATTAAAGATAAAACTAAAATATTCTTTGGCCTTTACTACCCCTTTAGTAATTTTGGCCCCTTTCTGTCTTCCCCAAGATAATAATCACTGGTAAAAATTTGTGATAATTTTTACATATTTGTTTTAGGAGTTTTTTTTTTTAAAGTCAATTTTATAATTAGTAATGTCTTTTGCTGCTTGAAGCCAGGTTGCTTATATCACCAAAAAAATCTAGCAAAAATAAAAGACATACACTAAAACATCTGGTAAGATTACAGATGTATTAAAAAATCTGGTAAGATTACAGATGTATTAAATATTCCTTAAAAAAATTTAAATAAGTATATAAATTGTGTCTCCTTAAAGATGTTAAAAATACATATACAGGGCTGGGGCGGAGCCCAGTAGCAGAACATTTACCTATCATATTTGAGGACCTGTTCCCAGTAGTGGGGGAAAAGAAAATACAAAACTAATTTTAAGTACTTTTCTAAAGGTCTTCAATCAAACGTGTTTTTTTCTTTGAATTAAGAAAAAGGCTGAAAGTAGACAAATTATCTGGTAATTACCCCTCTTTCCCATATACCTCTCCCATTATTATTTTTAAATGCTACTCTTTCTTTGTAAACTACCTTATTAGCAATGAACTAAAAGAATAAAATGGAATTTTAATGTAAGTAATGAACACCCTCAGATTAATTCTTCATATCTTGCTTAGCTATGTGCATTTGGAGTTTTACATGGCAGATACCCTAATACGGGTCATAGAATTCTAGAACAAAGAATCTTAGGTTAACTTTCCCATGCCATTGCCCAGACACAAAGCTATAAAATACATATATATCTCATATAAATGAGTACAATCTTTTCTAACATTTTCATGCTTTCTTTTGCATACACTGTCTGTTGTGCCTGGTGTTCTTTTCCTCCCTTATCCATCCTAAAAAAACCAATTCAGTGGCTGTTCCTCTAAGAAGCTTTTCCAGACTCCCTCAGACAGAATTAGCTATCCTTTATATATATCCTACACTTTAACTATAGCAGTTATCACACAGTGAGCATTTGTTAAACAAATACCTTCAGTGTACTGATATTTAACCTATTTCTTTAAACTACCAACATCCCTATTGTAGACAGTAGCCAGTGTAGAAAGGGTTCAAAACTTTCTTCAGAACTAAATATAGTTTATATATTATGGGGCTAGAATAATAATAGCAATTGTATTATATCCTCTCAATCTCATCTAGCTAGGGTTTAAAAACGTTGATACCATCTAAGAGTATCAGAAAATAAACTTATTAGAAATGTGCATTTTCAGGGGCTGGGGTTATGGCTCAGTGGTAAGTTCTCACCTAGCATATGTGAGTCCCTGAGTTCAATCCTCAGCACCACATAAAAATAAATAAATAAATAAATATATATATATATATATATTATAATAAATAAATATATATATATATATAAAGGTATTGTGTCCATCTACAACCAAAAAATATTTTTTAAATGTGCATTTTCAGTACAGATTTTCACATATCTATTGTGCTCATATAGAGTATTATTTATAGTAACTCAATTTATAGTTCTAATAAAATTCTAAAGTTGTCTTTATATTATAAGATATTATTGAACAAAATTAATTTTTATGCATGAGGCTCCAGGTTCAATCCCCAGAGCAGAGGAAAATTTATCAATTTTTTTCTTTAAAAGTGCTACAGTACAGGGCTGGGATTGTGGCTCAGTTGTAGAGCACTCCCCTAGCTAGTGTGAGGCCCTGGGTTCGATTCTCAGCACCACATATAAATAAATAAAATAAACATATTGTATCCACTTACAACTAAAAAATAAATATTTTTTTTAAAAAAAGTGCTATGGTACATTGTGCCCAAATATGGACCTCACAAGTATGTTTGCTCAACTATTGGCAAACAATTTCTATTTCAGTTACATACTCTGTGCCCTGTTATATATAAAATATGTTTTGAAATTTTTTTTGTATTTTAAATACTATTTTGATTATATAAAATTTAGAAAATAAGGGTAAGAAGAGGGCAGTTTTCATAATTGTACTACTCAGAGACAGGCATCGTTAATATTTTAGTATATGTATTCCCCCGCTTTTTTTTCAGTACTGGGGATTGAACCCACATGCTAAGCAAGTGCTCTATCACAAGCTACATCCTTGGCCTTTTTTAAATTTTATTTTGAGACAGGGTCTCACTAAATTGCCTAGGCTGTCTTTGAACTTGCAATTTTTCTCCTAAGTGACTGAGATTTCAGATGAGCACCACCATTCCCAATTATTTATTTTATTTTTTGTAGATGGACAAATACCTTTATTTTGTTTGTTTATTTTTATGTGGTGCTGAGGACCAAACCCAGGGTCCCCGCACGTGCTAGGCGAGCACAGTACCACTGAGCCACAACGCCAGCCACCCCGATTATTTTTCCCATCTTTTACATGAGTTTTTTTTATTTATTTTAATAAAAAGTATCACACTATAATTAGTTTTACATCTTGCGTTCATCACTTAACCCTAAGGGATAAGCATTTTATCATGCCATGAAAAGTTATTTGAGGGACTGGGGATGTGGCTCAAGCGGTAGCACGCTCACCTGGCATGCATGCGGCCCGGGTTCGATCCTCAGCACCACATACAAACAAAGATGTTGCGTCCGCCGAAAACGAAAAAGTAAATATTAAAATTCTCTCTCAAAAAAAAATTAAAAAAGAAAAAGAAATACAAGAAAGTTTAAAAAAAAGGAAAAGTTATTTGAGCTGCTGTAAACAGTATGGCTGTATCACTCTAGTATGCTGATTTTAAGTCCTTTTGATAAAGAAAATGTTTATATACACAGTGAAATTTTACTTAGCCCTAAAAAATAATTGTAAATCGATAGATCTGGAGACTATCATCCTAAATGAAATAAGCCAGTCCCAAAAAACCAAAGGCTGAATGCTCTCTTTGATATGTGGATGCTAACCCATAAAAAAAGGGGAAGAGGGAAGAATAGATCAGTTCAGTGGATTAGACAAAAGAAAATGAAGAGAAGGGAGAGGGGAGGGAATAGAAAAGACAGAAGAATGAATCAGACTTAACTTTCGTATGTTTATATATGAATATACCACTAGTGAAACTTCATATCATGTACAACCACAAGAAGGGTTAATTAAAGTTAATTGATATTCCATGTATATATAATATGTCAAAAATATACCCTACTGCTATGTATATCTAAAATAAACAAATTTTAAAAATGAAACATTCAGATTTAAAAGAATAAAAAGTTATTTGAGCCAGGCTAGTGGCGTACACCTATAATCCCAAAGGCTGAATGCTCTCTTTGATATGTGGATGCTAACCCATAAAAAAAGGGGAAGAGGGAAGAATAGATCAGTTCAGTGCCTCAAGGTTGCTGAGGTTACCTTTGAATTTGTGATCCTCCTGCCTCAGCTCACAGGCCATTGGGATTACAGGTGTGGTTTGGGACACTGAGGCAGGAGGATGGTGAGTTCAAATCCAGCCTCAGCAACTTAGGCCCTGAGCAACTCAGGAAGACCCTGTCTCCAAATAAAATATAAAAAAAGTCTGGGGTTGTGGCTCAGTGGTTAAGTGCCCCTGGGTTTAATCCCTAGTACCAAAAAATTAAAAGAAAAAACAGTTATTTGAATACCTTACTAATGACTGGGAAGTCCAGTTTAGAAACTGTCACCCTTAGCTGGTTGTGGTGGCACACACCTGTAATCCCAATGGCCTGTGAGCTGAGGCAGGAGGATCACAAATTCAAAGGTAACCTCAGCAACCTTGAGGCACTAAGCAACTCAGACTCCATCTCATTAAAATACAAAATAGGGCTGGGGATGTAGCGCAAGTGGTTGAGTGTCCCTCAGTTCAATCCCCGATACCAAAACAAAAAAATAAATAATCATACTTTAATTTCCTTGGGGGACTTTAGGGTTTTTTTTTTTCCAAATGTGTCATAAATGGTACAGTGATATCTGCTATCTGGAAAAGTCTATTTTTGGGAATTGTTGCATCAAATCTATTAAGGAGTATTGCCTACGTGCTCTTTGGAAAGATTTTTTTAGGTTTCCAGAACTCTCACCTATATATGAGGTTACTAGTTTCAATGCAAACCCCCTAGCACAGAATTATCATTGTTTCCTTAATCTTTGCCATTTGGATTTTTAAAAGCCAGGGCGGGAAGGTAATCTTTTTAACTTATATGAATCTTGAAGGACATAGAAAACTATATCATCTATATAATCTTCCAGAGGAAAAGCATTTTGAAATAATAATGTCCTCTGTACCAGGTATTGTTTTAAACAATTTTCAAACATCAACTCATTTAATTCCCATAACAATCCTATGAAGTATTTACATTATTCATCTTTGTAGAGAACTGAGCTTGAAAAGTTAAATGATGGGAGGGGATATAGCTCAGTAGTGAAGCCTTGCTTAACGTTCACAGGGTGCTGCAAAACACACACACACACACACACACACACACACTTGAATGATAAATGGAGATGATGATAAATATTTAGATTAACTAAAGATAGAACTCTAGAACTTGGGGAATTATTATTTGTGCTGTGATAGCAAAACTACAGCTTGTTGAGAAAAT